ATATTAGCATTAGAAAAACCAAATTCCAACTCTACATATAAAAGAGGACACATTTCCTCTGGAAACTAACCAACCAGTGTGAGAAGTTGTTTTGTTCTTCATATTCTTTAAACTCATCTTATCAACTCTATGCACCACAAAGTGTAACTTTCTAGCAAAAGACATCTGTTTAAAACTATCATGTCTGTAATTGCTGACTTAGGGAACAGATTTTAATATTAGCATTTTGGTTTCAGTATTTGCTTAACTCTCATGTACAAAGCGCAGAATACTTATTATGGTCAATCATTATCAATCTCGTGACATTTATACTACTTAAGTTACAGTCAACCAGTCAACAAGTATGTATTGGTCTGCCAAACTGGTGAAATATGAAAATATGAAGTAATGATTTTCCTGAAAGGTTATATGCTCTAGAAACCATACTTAATATTGCTGGTAAAGACATTTTGTTTGTTTGTTTGTTTGTTTTTTCCTCATGCTTTCCTCCCTTCTCGTGTAGAAGTGCTAAAAGAATGTTATCAAGATTTCTTTATTTAGGACAAATAATTTACCTGGAAAAACATGAAACAATATTATAATTATTGATTTACTCTCAAAGATATTTTTAATTATTTGCTGTTTTGTGGAATTGCAAATACTGAGTATCTTCTGTAGCTTCCTATACTTTTTTTTTTCAGTTAGGACTATAACTAAGAGAATTTATATAAATTAATCATTTTAAAACTATAAAATGCAGATACTTATAATGCTTAAGCAATTATCAAGATATTTCTTAAACTGATATTATTATTATACATTTCTAAATTTCAATTTCTGAAAATAGGGGCTCTCTCCACCCAGCTTTGAGAAACTAAAAATACATTAAAACAAAGTAAATTTAAGTAATGTTATAAGAATCTCAACATTGAATCAGCCAAAACTTGGTTGACAAAATTCAGTAAGTATTCCCTTTTTAGTCAGATAAATTTAAATTATTTATAAATTATGTCTGCATTAGTAAATGCTAATGCAAGGCACCGTGTCAAACACATACATCATAATCTGTACTATACTAATCTCATCTGAATGTACAGACACGGACACGCGTCCCTGTCAAACACAGGGATCATAATCTGTACTATACTTGTCTCCTCATCTGAGTGTACAGACACGGACACGCATCCCTGTCAAACACAGACATCATAATCTGTACTATACTAATCTCCTCATCTGAATGTACAGACACGGACATGCGTCCCTGTCAAACACAGGGATCATAATCTGTACTATACTCGTCTCCTCATCTGAGCGTACAGACATGGACACGCGTCCCTGTCAAACACATGCATCATAATCTGCACTATACTCGTCTCCTCCTCTGAGTGTACAAACATAGACACGCGTTCCGATGCAAGCCTTGACAATGACAGTGAATCCAGTTCCAATAGTGTGTGCCAATGTGAACTCAAATTATAAATCTATAAATTCATACTGTCAATCAAAGGTATGCAGTATAAAGTTAGACATTGATCTGGAAGATCTCACAGTCGTCATTTAAAGGAAACTGGAATATCAGTTTCAGAAATATTTTATAATCTTAAAAAAATGGATAAAATACAGAATGGACAAGAGAAATGGCTCAACTGAGATATTAGAGCCAAGTGTGATTTACCTATTTTTAAGTCTGAATTTTTTACTAGGGTTCAATTTAGACTTGTCTGATGATTCTAACCTAATCCTGGAGGCACTTAGACCCAGAACTGGAAAATTAAAAATCCTTTAGTCAGAAATTGGCATGCAGACCCAAGTCTCCACAAGAGAAACCAGAAATGCAAAGAATGCTTAAAAGAACTCAAGTATCAATTATTCAAGGAATATTTGTGGTGTATCTACTACTGTCTAACACAGAAAGAATTTTCACGCTGAAAATGAATATTTGAGAAATATTGATTCATCTGCATCACAGATATTTCAATAATTTATAACAAAATAGAAAGTAGGCTACAGAAAATGTTTCATGAAAATGAAACTGTTTCCACTAGGAAATATGTCCAGAGTCTGAACTAAATCATAATAAATATTCTAGCAGTCAAGGGAAGGGAAAAAAACCAATTCCAACTCATAGAAACCCTACATAGTTGCTGAGTCTATAAAGGAAACCAAACTGTCAGAAAAGAAGGATAGCAATTTAAAATATCCGTGGCAACAGTCAGAAATGTTGCTAATATCCATGGTCTACAGTATTTAGTCTACAACTCCTAGTTCTCAACATCAACAGCCAGAAAACAAAATTTAAGGGTACCTCAGAAGAAATGAAATCAAAACCTCAATTACCTCGATGGCCAAGATTAGCTTTCTCTCATTTAATTCACAGTTTCATGGCTTTGTTATTCAGAGCTATGCCATTCATTTATAAAATTTCTTTAAACACTTTCAGTCATCATTATTTATTTTGAAAAGTTCTTTTACTTAAAATTTCTTCTTTATATTTATTTATTTTGAAAACTTATTTTACTTAAAGGTGTAAATAAGAAAAAGAATCAGCACCCCAAGGAAATATCCTTTATCACGTCATATGAATTAAATGCCTCAAAAGTCGACATTGAAGTGATCCTAAGTGTTGTCAGGACAGGTCTGTTATACTGATCAAAACGATTATTCTCTGAGCACAAGTCAGACCTTTGCCCATCTTCCACTGCTCCAAAGGTAACAAGAATGGGGCCTTACAATGCTGACTTGCCAGGGTCAGGCCCAGCATCCCCTTGATTAGAATCTTATGTCCAGGGCAATTTAGAAAAGCATGGGAATGTATTTAAATAACTTAATAATTCAATAGGTTTCTTTTAATAAATGAAAAAATAAACAACTAAGTAAATAAATAACAATGAGTACATCAATATTATAAAAGTAGAAAGTCCTTTGTAAAATAAATCTGACTCCATTACAGCCTGTCACCACCAGCAACTTGCATGAATTTGGGGTTCATTCGTATCATCTAAATTGTTTACTAAGATTCCTCTATCAAAGATTCTTAGACAGTAGTAAAATTACATTGACAATCAGCACTTTCATTCCATCCCATAGAAAGTGTCACTATCGCTTTTGCCTTACCTCTACCACTGTCTCACTCTTATCTTTATATTGCCTCTAGGACTGTCTCTGGGTATCAAGCAATTCTCTATTTGCACACAAAGAATGAAAATTATTTTTGTTGCCACTAGCTTCCTACAGATTCTTTTGGCCCCTATTCATAGCATTTTGATATTCTTTTCATCATTAAGTATAACACTGGTGAAATACTTGGTCACACTTATCAGCCATTATTTGTTTTTCTTCTACCAGACAGGTAATACAAATAACTTGGGGTTTTTTCCCCATAAGTTTTTAACTTTAACTCAATTTCCATATCAAAATACCACACTAGTTTTAAAAAGTTAGCTCAATAAAAAAATTTTAAAGAAATGAAGTGACTGTATAGAAACTTTGAAAGTAAGGAATATAGCAGTCCTTTATACTCAAAACACTTTCCTCCTACCTGCTTCAGAGTCTTTGGCTTTCCTGCCAATCAATCATACCTCTCCCTGAACTCTGCATTGTCCCAGGGTTAGTGAACTAGTGAGTTCTCATCTCACTCCTACTTATTAATATCTCTATGCATGCCTACCTTTACAAATTGAATCCTCATAGTTAATATGCTTTATTTACAAATTAAAAGTCTATGAGACATTTGGCCCAAACTTACTGGAATCCATCTCAAATGTACACTAAATTTAATAATTTTCTTATCACATTTTAGAACCTAAAATCACACTCAATGTATTACAAAGATGTTCACTTGGTTGAAACTATTACACTTCAAGGAGGCAGCACTTTAAGTTGGGCCTCTTTAAGAGCATATATAATGCTATTTGGGGCTTATGGAGAAAGGACATAAATGGCCAGAATAGCTTAATTCTAAGTCAGAGCAGAGTGCCGAAATACTTTTTCACTAGGAGTAAACTCCAGCATTTAAATGACTGAACTCTATTTAACATCAAGACTACCACCTTTTAAAAAAATAAGATAAAGCTTGAAAATGGATGCAATGAAGAAAGCAGAAACCGGTCAAACAGCAGACTCTTACCAGAAACGGACTCCAGCAGATGCAGGAGACACACATGATCGCCAGGAGCTGGATGACCATTTCCAAATGATGAGACCTGCCTTGTCTGTGCTGCTGACTTTTATATTTTACTTTCACCAGTGTAATGCCTGTGATGGCATTGCATAAAAACGAAACACCAAGGGCTAAGAGCCCCAGAAAAGAAAAAAGTAGAAGATAAAATCTATCTTCCCAGTCTTGGATGTGCTCTGTCTTGTAGAAACACCAGGTCCGCGATGCTTGAATTGTATAGTCTCGAAGCCCAAGGATGGGAAGCAAAGCTATAAAGATAGCAAACAAGCATACTCCACTCAGCATCATTTTCACATGCTTAGATGTAATTTTTGTAGAATGAAATATGGGTTTGGTGACTCCAATGCAGCGTTCAATGGCCATCACGCTGCCTAGAAAAAGTGGGCACAGACCAGAGAATACCATGCAGATACCAAAAATGCTGCAAAGCACGTTTGATTGGTCAAAGCGGATCCAGTCTTTATTAGAAGCATATACAAATACTGCGATAGCTCCATTGATAAGATGACCAAAGAAGTCTGTAATCACGAGGCCACTAGCCAAAAGCAGAAACGATGCCTTAGACTTCTGTCTAAATCGCTGATATGCCTTCATGAGAATGGCAATGGCCAAGCTGTTTGATAAAATCCCCACCGTCATGAAGATAATTGAGAAAAATACTGAAAGTCGGTTTTCCGTCTGGCAGGTTGCATTCAGCCCAGCGGCGGGAGACAATGGTTGTTTGGAATTGTTCATGGACATTGTGGGGAAGATAAAAGCCAGTCGCTCAAGTCATCTCCCTCTCAAATCAATGCAGGCTTGTAGTCCAGACATCTGTAACGCAAAGAGAGAGGAATTATGAAAACAGCCTCACTACTCATCTGACATTTACAACTCAAGAGCCACAGCACCCTATGGTGGGCATCTGATTTCTCTAGCCTATTGTAAGCAAGGTTGCATCATACTGAAAGCAGCACATATCTGCCCGTGGTTCCACGTTTCATTGTCAAAGGAAAGAAGCTGCCCAAATCCAGGTCTCCTGGTTAACCTCTATGATCCAGCTGCAAATGTGTACCTCCTAAAGACCTTCTGTTGACTGCCAATACTTTCTAATTTTAAGAAATGCAATAAGACCAGACTTAAACCCAATGATGTTTCTAAAGCCATGAAAACCTCTTTAGATAACTCAATGCATTTTTAAGTTTCTGCTCTTTTCTCTGATGGGCTTTATCCACAAGGTCGAGATTGATTATTGCCGAGGGGAACTAAATGCAACCAGTTTGCCAAGCTGATGTAACAAGCTTCTCCAAACACTGTGGAGGGCAGAGGGAAGTGCGGGAAAGGCTAGGGGCATTGGCCAGCTCCCTAATATTAAATGGGGTTTTCTAAATAGGTTTCTGAAGCGGACATCCAGCAACAGACTACAAGCACTGAGCGTGCGCATGGCCAGCGGAGTGGGGAAGTCTGCAGAAAAGTGTTTTGCTCCAGCTTACCACCTGTGCAAAGATTTGCTCTTGATTTACTCTGGGGAAGGGAGGCGGGCTATGCTTGCTGGGTCCACAGCTGCCTTCTCTCCACATCTGGCTGGATGCAGTTAATTAAGCGAAAACTTCAGGGTAGTAATGTCGGATGTGAGTTAGTTATTCGTCGCTCTTTCCCTAGTGGGGAAAGGTCTGAGTCACACACACGAGATACCCAGGACCACAGCTAGTGTGCCTGTGCTAATTCCATTGGCCTTTCCCAGCAGCTCTCTGGGAGCCTGGGAATTCCGGAGCAAGCCTTTCCTGAGGCCGGCCTGCCCTGCGAGCAACCGCCCCGGCTGCCCCAGGGCAGATGCCTTGTCTCATTCCTTCTCACAGCTCTACTTGCCCCCATCCCTCCTGCCAATTCCCCCGCCCCACCCCACCCTCGCCCCAAGCTTCTGCTTGCAACACCCTTCCCAAAGCTCCCAAAGTGCTGAAAATGTCTGCTGCTATTGCTCAAACACCGGAGGACCGTTTTCCCT